ACTCTAGAAGTTCTAGTATTAGTATTTGCCCCCCAGCCACTCTGGGCAGCTTACAGTACATATAGGTAAAGGTAAAGGGACCCCTCACCATTAGGTCCAGTCGTGGCCGACTCTGGGGTTGTGGTGCTCATCTCACTTTATTGGCTGAGGGAGCTGGTGTACAGCTTCCGGGTCATGTGGCCAGCATGACTAAGCTGCTTCTGGCGAACCAGAGCAGCGCACAGAAATGCCGTTTACCTTCCCACCAGAGCAGGACCTATTTATCTACTTGCACTTTGATGTGATTTCAAACTGCTAGGTTGGAAGGAGCAGGGACTGAGCAACGGGAGCTCACCCCGTTGTGGGGATTTGAACTGCCGACCTTGTAATCGGTCGTAGGCTCTGTGGTTTAACCCACAACAGCACCCGCATCCCTACAGAACATATACAAGACAGTAAAACATCAAACATTACAAACCTCCTGATTCAGCTGTCTTCTAAATGTCAGATGGTTGCCTACCTCCTTGCCCTCGGAAGGGAGGGCATTCCATGGGGCAGGAGGCCCTCTGCCTGGTTCCCTGGAACTTCACTTCTAACAGCAAGGGAACCAGCAGAAGACCCTCGGAGGCGGACCTCCCTGTCCGGACGGAGCGATGGGGGTGAAGATGCTCCGTCAGGTCCACAGGGCCGAGGCTGAGGAGGGCTTTAGGTTGCAGATCTTGCTTCTCCATAATGATTGATGTATAGATAGCAGAGTAGGAGAAAACACAGAGGCAGCAAAAAAACAATTCAGCTGAGAAATTTGTTACCGAAGACAGATAAGCATAACAGGAGCCAAAAAATAGCAAAAATGTAACTCACAGTAAAACCCTGACTTAGCAAACCAAAACAGCACTCAAGTAAGAGACAAGCAAAGTAGAGTAATATCAGAATATGAAGTGGGAGCAGGCACATTTCAATACTGTAATTTATATACAATTCAATGTCAGAGTAACCCTGGGACTATAGATAACAAGCCTCCAGGTGGACGTGCCCCACCTGTCCTTCACTTTCCTCTTCAGCACAGGCAGAATCTGCCTTCTTGACTGTGGGATTGACTGTTGTTCTCCTCCTCTCCATCCACCAGGGCTTGACTTCAGGTGCAGCAGAATTCCCCAGCCCCCCAAGGATTTGAGACCCATCAGCTTTCCTCACCTGGTTTAGCCGGCCGGTTGAAGCCGTTGCTTGAACCCCTGTTGCATGCTGACAGCTTCTGGAAGCCACAGGTGAGAGCTGAGTGCAGGGTGGGCACCAAGGGTGGAAAAATGACCCCAGAAGGTGCAGGACATGTCCCCTACCCAAGGAACTACTGCTCCCCAACACCCCATGACATTTATTTTATTTTTTTAAATGATATGTATTGAGAATTTTTTTTAAATTACACACAAAAAAGAAACAAGACAAAAAAAGAAAAAGAAAAGTAAAACCATCATTCTCCAATTCTCCACTTGACCTCCTCCTCCTCCCTTTTCCTGTATCCTGGTTTATAATAGTCACAGCAAATCCTTTCCATAATTCATAATATTCTGTCCTTACATTACCTTAGTCTATTTTCATCTTATCTTATATATAAAAAAGTTTAAAACTTAAATCTTAATTTTTACCAACTTCTCCTAACCATAACATTCTTACCTAATTCTTTAAACATTTTATAAGAGCCAAATAATTTCATTTCAACATTTTCCTAACATTCATCAATTTTGTAAAACAGTCCTAATGATAGAAATAGAAACTTAAGCAATCCAAACTTCCTCCAGCGTCCCTTCCTCCTGGTCCCGTGTTTTGTCAGTCCTTTTTGTCCTATTAATCTAGCACATTAACCTGGCAATCTTATATCCGAGGCCCTCAAGTCTCTTCCATGTCCCTTCCGCCGCTCTTCTTCATATTTTCCTTTTATTCGTGGGAACTCCAGCTTGGTAATATTTTTGACCCTTTTCAACAAAACAGTCCCTTTTCCATAGTCCAGACTAGACTCAATGTAGTATTTAAAAACATGTTCCAGATTTCCTTCAAGGTTGAAAGCCCCCACTGCTCCAGACAGCTGACGACCCCTTTCCAGACTCGAAAAGTCCAAATCTCCCTGTATAGGGGGGGTCTATCCACCCCCCCCCCATTTCCAAACCAAACCAATTTTTTTCTTTCCAAGTCTGGTCTTTTCCAAGTTCATTTGTCAAATCCAAAAATTTATATTCCTGCTGGGCCGCAGCTCCTTCCTTCTCTGGCGCCCAAGATTCAGCAACATCCTCATCTCTCAGCTGTTCTGTCATGGCACACTCCTGTTTTAGTTCCTGGGTGGGCTCCATATAGTTTCCCACTACCTGTTCAAAGGTTCTGGCCGCATTTGTCATCAAATCCGTCTTCTGGCTTAACTGATCCAATAGGGCATTTATTTTGCAGAGAGCACCCAACAGTGCTTCTGCAGACATTGTCCTGCAAGGTCACAAACCCTTTCCCACGGTTGTAATCAGTGACAGCTGCAAGCTCCCAGGGATTAGTTACAATTTCACAGTTCCCCTCTAGGGGGAAAAACTTCTGATTGTTCTTTCTCTTAAAAACAATAGCAACAAAGTTTCTTTTTAAATATATTTTGTCCATATTTGTTCTTTTAAGATGCGAAAGGGAGCAATGGAGTCACTATGTTTCTCTTCTTTTAACTATCTGTCAAATACATTTGCTTCTGGTCAGTGAGCTTCAAACGCCAATTCTGACACCCCGCTCCAGGATCAGGACGGTGGGAAATTACTTTGCTTTAAACTCACTTCTGCAGGTTTAAACAGCTCGAAAAAAGCTCCCCCTTCTTCTCCTGCTACCGAAGGGGGGTTCAGCGATTTTAAATGATGAAAGCCAATCCTTTAAGAGTGATTTTAAAAGCTCTAGTTTGCGTTGTCTTTGCTTTGTTCTGGCTACAGGGAAACGGAAGGCTGACTTCCTGTTTAAACCTCTCCATTTCAGTACCAAATTAGGGTAAATTTTTAAGTCCAAATTCCTTTCTCTTTCTCCAGTTCTTATTTAAAGTCCAGATATTCAATGTTCCAGTACTCACGGTTGGTTATTTTAGATGCCAAATTGTCCCAGGAAAAAGGCAGCGCTCTCCGGCAACGGCTATGCGGCTTCGTTCCGCAGGAAAAGCGATTGACTTACAGCACCGCGCCACTTCCCCCTCTTCGCTTCGGAGCCCGTTTGTGGGTTCCTTTGCGGGTTGGGGGGGCGCTAAGGGTGCCCGCCGAGTCTCACGGTCACAGGCTTCATCCGCCTGTGATTTCCAGAAGGGTCCCCGCTTCGCTGCAGCGGAAAAGACCCGTTTCATGCGGAGCTGGTCCCTCCAGTTCGGAGGGAGTCCGCCATTGCTGATGGCGCCACCCCAGAAGTCCCACCCCATGACATTTAGATGCAGGTAGGTCTGACGCAGATGCCATATTGGTCTGATGCAGTTGAAATAAAAAATTAAAAAATAGTCCAGTAGGACCTTAGAGACCAACTATGATTGTCCTAGATAAAAGCTTTGGTGTGCATGCGCACTTCTTCAGATACACTGACACAGATGTCACCAGACCCTTGTATATCGTTGGAGGGTGGGGTGGGGTTTTTCTCAGAAGGGTACTCCTACTACCATCTCCCACTACCCATCACTATATGAAGAAGTGTGCATGCACACAAAAGCTTATACCTAGAACAAAATTAGTTGGTCCCTAAGGTGCTGCTGCTGTTGTTGTTTAGTCATTTAATCACGATCGACTCTTCGTGACCCCATGGACCAGAGCACGCCAGGCACTCCTGTGTCCAACCATCTTGTCCTCTGTCTTCCCCTTCTCCTTGTGCCCTCAATCTTTCCCAGAATCAGGGTCTTTTCCAGGGAGTCTTCTCTTCTCATGAGGTGGCCAAAGTACTAGAGCCTCAGCTTCAGGATCTGTCCTTCCAGTGAGCACTCAGAGCTGATTTCCTTAAGAATGGAGAGGTTTCATCTTCTTGCAGTCCATGGGACTCTCCAGAGTCTCCTCCAGCGCCAGAATTCAAAAGCATCAATTCTTTGGCGATCAGCCTTCTTTATGGTCCAGCTCTCACTTCCATACATCTATGGAAGCTATGGGAAATCCATAGCTTTAAGTATACGGACCTTTGTTGGCAAGGTGATGTCTCTGCATTTTAAGATGCTGTCTAGGTTTCTCATTGCTTTTCTCCCATGACCCTAAGGTGCTGCTGGACTATTTTTATTACTTTTTTACTTCAGCTGTGTCAGACCAATATGTCTACCTACCATTAAGTACGGTTACCTCCTTGCCTTGAATATCCTCCTTTTCAGTGCCAGATTAGGATAGTCCTCTCTCAGAAGACAAGCACAGGATCAGGCAGCACATCATCATTATAAAGAACCATTGGGGTGGGTGTTTCCGTCTGGGATTCCCATGTGCCAGCTGCTTTCCTTCTGCTTCTTCTGCTCTTTCCATGCAATGTGAGGCATGTAGACACAGGTCCATCTCCAAGAACAGGAGCTTCCCTGAGCACCCATTCAGCTGACCCCAAGCACCAAGCCTTGTCACTAGTTCTCTGACTGACCCAGACCACAGTCCCTGGAAGAGATGTAGGCCTGGGTCTCCCAAAATGGTCCATATGGACCTCCTGAGGTCAGTGGGACTATGCAGTTGATTCATTACTACCATTTGACATCATACCATTTTTATTTCCTAAAAATTGGGAACATAGGTAGGACATGGGAGAATGTAGGAGATGTTGAAATAAGAGAAGGTGCTAATGATGGTTGATGTGTCCTTTTTTCCCTTTGTTCTCTTCCTTGAAACCCAAACAGGATTTCCTTTCTGCCCACTCTGAAAAAGGTGATGGAGAAGACAGAATTGCAGAGGACAGGGCACCTTTCATTTCATTAGGAATAGCCATTAAAATGTGTGAAATGTGGAATATGCTTCACTGAACGAGCACACATAGTTCACATCAACGAACACAAAAAGGAAATAACCCATTTAAAGGTATGGAGTGCGGAAAGAGCTTCTCTTTCAATGCAAAACTTAGAACACACCAGAGGACTCACACAGAGAGAAAACGTTTTAAGTGCAGGGAGTGTGGGAAGAACTTCAGTCAGAGTGGAAACCTTAAATTGCACAAACGGACTCACACAGGGGAGAAACCATATGAATGTATGGAGTGTGGAAAGAACTTTAATAATAGTGGAAGCCTTAGAAGACATGAACGGACTCACACAGGGGAGAAACCATTTAAATGTATGGAGTGTGGAAAGGACTTCAGTCAGAATGGACACCTTAGATCCCATCAACAGACTCACACAGGGGAGAAACTATTTAAATGCATTGAGTGTGGAAAGAGCTTCAGTCGGAGTGGAGAGCTTAGATCACATCAACAGACTCACACAGGGGAGAAACCATATGAATGTATGGAGTGTGGGAAAAGCTTCAGTTGGAGTGCACACCTTAGAAATCATCAACGGACACACACAGGGGAGAAACCATATGAATGTATGGAGTGTGGGAAAAGCTTCAGTTGGAGTGCACACCTTAGAAATCATCAACGGACACACACAGGGGAGAAACCATATGAATGTATCGAGTGTGGAAAGAGCTTTAGTGATAATGGAAACCTTAGAAGACATGAACGGACTCACACAGGGGAGAAACCATTTAAATGTATGGAGTGTGGAAAGAGCTTCCGTTGTAATACAAGCCTTAGATCACATCAACGGACTCATACAGGGGAGAAACCATTTACATGTCTGGAGTGTGGAAAGAGCTTCAGTCGGAGTACACACCATAGAAGACATCAACAGACTCACACAGGGGAGAAACCATATGAATATATGGAGTGTGGGAAAAGCTTCAGTTGGAGTGCACACCTTAGAAATCATCAACGGACACACACAGGGGAGAAACCATATGAATGTATGGAGTGTGGGAAAAGCTTCAGTCGGAGTGCAGACCTTAGAAATCATCAACGGACACACACAGGGGAGAAACCATATAAATGTAACGAGTGTGGAAAGAGCTTTAGTGATAATGGAAACCTTAGGAAACATCAACGGACTCACACAGGGGAGAAACCATTTAAATGTGTGGAGTGTGGGAAGTGCTTCAGTTTCAGTGCAAACCTTAGACAACATCAATGGACTCACACAGGAGAGAAACCATTTAAATGTATGGAGTGTGGAAAGAACTTCAGTCAGAGTGGAAATCTTAGAAAACATCGGCGGACTCACACAGGGGAGAAACCATATAAATGTATCGAGTGTGGAAAAAGCTTTAGTGATAGTGGAAGCCTTAGGAGACATCAATGGACTCACACAGAAGAGAAACCATTTAAAGGTATGGACTGTGGAAGGAGCTTCAGTCAGAGTGGAACCCTTGATTTTTGTCAACAAACTCATACAAAAGACAAACCATATAAATATCAGGAAAGTAGATAGAGGTTCACTCTTAGTGGAAGTTCAGGATCAACAGACTCACGGACAGGAAGAACTTTAAGAGTTGAAACCCTTCAAACCATCAACAAACTCAGGAGAAGCAGTTTGAATGAAAAGACTACAGAAAGTGCTTTCTTTATAATGGAGTATTTAAGGAACAGGGACGTGGATGGCGCTGTGGGTTAAACCACAGAGCCTAGGACTTGCCGATCAGAAGGTCGGCAGTTCGAATCCCCACCACGGGGTGAGCTCCTGTTGCTCAGTCCCAGCTCCTGCCAACCTAGCAGTTCAAAAGCACATCAAAGTGCAAGTAGATAAATAGGTACCACTCCAGCGGGAAGGTAAACAGTGTTTCCGTGCACTGCTCTGGTTCACCAGAAGCGGCTTAGCCATGCTGGCCACATGACCCGGAAGCTGTAGGCCGGCTCCCTCGGCCAGTAAAGTGAGATGAGCGCCGCAATCCCAGAGTCGTTCATGACTGGACCTAATGGTCAGGGGTCCCTTTACCCTTTACCTTTATTTAAGGAACATCTAGGGACTCTCACATGGGAGAACCCATTTAGATGTATGGAGTGTGGGACGTCTTCCTCTCAGAGTCCACTCTGAGCAATGAACTCAGCAGGAAATCATTCCTACAAGCATGAGGTATATGTGAAGTTCTGGTGTTTATATGTAAAACTATAATAATGAAATCAGGCAACATCTCACAATGGTGAGTATAATTTTAGATGAAAGTACCTTTGGTTTTTGCACCAAACTCTATCACCCCCCCCACCGCATGATCTCCCAGCACTGCTTCTTCACCAGAACTTCATCACTGCCTCCTGCCCTGCGCATTCTGAAGAAAACTTGAAATACTGTAATTGAATGGGAGATTTCCCCCCAAGCCTAATTTCAAGAGGGGGAAGGAGGGGCTGCAGGTACCAGGGAAGTCTCCTGGGGGGCCCATATTCACTCATGAACCCCATGGGGCAACCCCAGAGCTCCTGCTTATTCTAGGGTTTGGGAAAGAGAGTATTTTTCCATAGAAGTTTTGCTTCAATCATGGTACTCGGGAGTTTTCCTACCAGAGGACCACAGTGCTGTGGCTGCTGTTGTTGTCATGGACTGGCTGGGGGGGGGGGAGGCACCAGCTGGGGGACCCACAAGGGAAGAAGGCTCAGAGCCCAGGAACTGGTGGTGGGATGGCAATGAGCAGAAAGAGGGAGGAAAGGGAGCAGAATGGAAGGGGAGATGTTGCAAGCTGAGGAGGAAACAGTGTTTGGTGAGCAGGAAGAGGCTGGGGCAGAGAGCAGTTCAGGCTCAGAGGAGAGGAGAGGAGGGGGCCAGGAGACCCAGAGGAGGCCGGTTGCTGAAGCATCCAGGGAGACTCCTCCTCCTGCTGCGACTAGCTCCCCTCTCCCCTGATCTCCTAGAGCTCACAGAGAAATCCAGTTCAGACCCCATGAGCCTGTACATTGTATTAAGAGGTATTTTACATACACCACTTTAATGTCATTGATAATGAACTGTATTTTCTGCCCATTCACCCCGTTTGGAGAGCCCTTTTTGGAGCTCCTTGCAATCTCTCTTTCTTTGAACAACCCTGGACAATTTGCTGCCATCAGCAACTTTGCTCCCGCCTAACTCTAGATCATTTATGAACAAGTTGAAAAGCCACTTTAAGAGCAGAACCCTCAATGTTGCAGGAGAAATACTATATTAAAACTTCAAGTCAAGACCAATTGGGGTTCTGGAGGTAAAAAGATTTAAGTGAGGAACCCGACCTGCACTTTCAGAGTAAAATGGCGCAGGATAATCAGTCGCAAGAGCAAATAAAGGAAATGACTAATCACCCGCTGTAGAGAACAGAAGAGTGAAAGTCCTCGGCAACTTCTTAGGCGAGGCGAAGGAAAGATAAGTAACAGAAAGTAACAAACCAGACTTCTAGAAACTTTGTATTTCTTTTGGGGGGGAAAGCTTTAAAAACAAGGGAAGAAACGGAACTGAGTGGTGTTAATGGGACAAAAACCCTGAAGCCTTAAATATCAATATTGGAGCACAAGGAGGAGGGAGAGGAAAGGAAAAAAGATGAAATAAAATAGAATAAAGCCCCTAAACAAACAACAATTTTCACTTAATTGTTCTCCATGGTTGAAAGTTGGATATTCTGAAAGTTTAAATCTTTAAAACATAGTACAATAGGGGCAATTTGATCAAACATTAAATTAGGACAATAACCCCTCCCCCTAAAGCCTCTGGAGTTTCATACCTTCTCTCTGCTTTTTTCTCTTGAGTATTTTCAATTTAATTATGGACTGAGCTTAAAGAGACAAAGCCAAATTCTGTTCACACGCCTACTCTCCCTTCCTGAAAGACTGGTTTAAAATTGATGCATACCTAACTTCTAAGGGTTGTGAAGTTGGCTTTTTGAAAGATTGAAATATAACCAAATTTAAAAGAGGAACATATTCAAGATCTCTGGAGGATACACCCATACTTACTATACTTAATTGACGGTTTGGGCCTGATTTTTGGAGGTCCAAACTTCTAGTCTATTCTTCTCAACTATAACCTAATATTGGATTAAGCCAGCAAGTGGCTGAAGAACATAGAATTTGGAAAGTCAAACCCCACTACAGACTGTTTGGACATTATCATCCGCTCCTGGCTAAAGAGACCTACTGACAGAGAACAACTCCCAAATACTGAGGTACTCTCCTGGTGAATTATTGAAATTGGATTAAGCTGGCCAAGTGGCTGAAGTTCAAATAGAAAGAAGGATACAGAATTTCTAAATAAGACAAAGTTAGATACATGTTAAACTTATTCGGCTGTTTTTACTATCTGATTGCAGCTCTGTTTGTTTATGAATTGACTCTCTTTTATTTTTATCTCTTTGGTCATTACAATTTAATTTAAAGCACTACTGAAATATTATTCTTGAAATATTAGAGAAATAATTCAGAACCTAGAATAATTAGTATTAATGAGATAATTTAGACCAATTTTTATTAGTTGGGAAGTTATATGAGGTTGGGTTGGACCCTAATCAAATTTGGATCTAATAGATTGTAAGCTGGGGTTTCAATCGGGAAATTTAACTAAAACCAGAGCCTCTAGAACTGAAGCTGGAATTAGTTAAGCTAGTGGGGCAGCATTAACATATTTGTTGGAAATTTAAGGGACTGAGAACAATTTGAGTTATTATACTCAGTTCCCAGATACCTTTTTTTTGGTATAATTTTGAATGGTGAAGAACTTGAAATTTGAATGTTCAAAAATCATCTGTGAATTTAATGTTTGATAATTAGTAGAATAAGGTTTAGATTGTGCGCCCCCTAGGGGAGAGGAAAAATACTGCAAGAGACCTAACTTAACACTATTGAAGGACAAAATGTCGGGGGGAAATGGGGAAAAGATAGGAGGAACACCATTGGAAAGGAAAGCATCCCGGCAAGAAGAGATTAAAGACCTAGATATTCTATGGTTAAGAATAAAAGAAGAGTTCAAACAGAGTGAAATACATATGGAAAAAAATTAGGAGAGATTCATGAGTTAATAGATAAAAAAATAGAAGAGGCAGTAGGAGAATTGTCAAACAAAATTAAAGATTTGACAGTCCGATCGAAAAATCTGGAAGAATCGAATAAAAAAATTCAGAAAGAAATAAAAGATAATAGAAAGGAGACAGATAGGATAAAAGATGAGATAGGAGAATTGAATAGAAATCAAGACCAGGTTTTGGATAATTTAGCGATGATTGAAATGAAACAAAAACAGTTAAATCTGAAATTTAGGGGAGTTGGAGAAGAAATAAATGAAAACATTAAAGAAAAAATGATTAAAGAACTGGCGAAATGGTTAGAATTGAAAGAAGAAGAGGTTGCATATACGGTAGAAAACACTTTCAGAATTAAAACAAAGACCAAACAAGTAAAATCAAAAAGAATTGCAGAAGACTGTTTAGTTATTTTCAATTCAATAGAGATGAAAAATATGATACTAAAAACAAGCTATCAAAAAAGATTAATTATTGATGGCAGACCAATCATCATCTTCAAAGAGATACCAACTAGACTCCTGCGCAAAAGGGAAGGCTATAAACAGTTGGCAAGTGTCCTAAAAAAGAACAATATACAATATAGGTGGGAGTTCCTGGAAGGGATCTCCTTTTTTTACAAAGATAAAAAATTTAGGATTGCCGAGATTCAAGAAGTGAAGAAATTTCTGCGTAGATATGAGAGAGAGTTAGGAAGAGTAGAGGAGAGATATGAAGGAAAAAGTGAAGGTCCAGAGGAGAAGAAAAAGAAAAATGAATTAGGGAAAAACAAAGAGGATAAAGTCAGAGAAGGAGAAGTAGACGAAGAAGAAGAGGAAGAGATAGCAGTGGAAGAGGAAGAAGAAGAGGAGGAAGTAAACGGAGAAAACAAAACCACTCGAACCTAAAGTAGTAGTTGTTGGTAAACGGGAAAGCAGTCAGTATAATGAACCTGAAAGTTTTGTCGTGGAATGTGAATGGCCTGAATGAAAAAACCAAAAGGAATAAAATAGTAAATGTGTTGAAAAGAAAGAACTTAGATCTAATATGTTTACAGGAGACACACGTAACTAAAAAACACAAACATATTTTGGTACACAAAAAATTGGGGGTTGAATTTACAAACTGTATAGCAGAAAAGAAAAGAGGGGTAGTGATATATGTGAAAGAAAAATGGGAACCTAAAATGATCTGTAAAGATGATGAAGGAAGGATTCTGGGAGTACAAATTAACTTCCAGGGGGGGAAATTTAATGTGATAAATATATACGCTCCAAATTTGAATAAATCGGATTTTTTAAAGAAATTGGAACAAATACTATTAGAGTTAGAATGCAACAAGACGATATTACTAGGAGACTTCAATGGAGTACTGAGACCAGAACTAGATAGACAATCAGAAAGGGGGGAAAACAATCAAGGGAAACTTCCAGGATCCTTTAATAACTTGGATGAAAATCTAGATTTAATAGACATTTGGAGATACAAACATGCTTTAGAAAAACATTTCACCTTCTTCTCAGAACCGCATAAAAGTTGGGGCAGAATTGATCAAATCTGGGTCTCAAGGGAACTTACACTGAAAACGGTAAAGTGTGAAAACCAACCTAGGACCCTCTCAGACCATAATTCGGTAATTCTGGAAATAAAAGGCAAGTCACAAGGCGGGTTCAGATGGAGATTGAACGAACATCTACTGGAAAATGATGAAGTGGCC